GTGGAGGCTAGTGTTAATTGCCTAGTGGCCAGGCAGCAAGAGGAAGCAGTGTTGTGGTTATCTGGGCTGAGCAGAGACAGTACAGAGGTTATATCTCTACTGGAGAGCTGCTCTGGAGCTCAGCCCTGCCTGCTGCTCCCATATCTATTGGGTGAAAAACCACAGTGTGCCATCACAGCAGCAATATTTGTGACCTGTTGCCACAGGAAAAGGGCAACCAGTGAAGAACAAACACCATTGTAAATACAACCCATATTTATGTTGATTTTCCCATTTGTACTTTAACTATTTGCACATTGTCACAACACTTTATATAGACATAATATGAGATTTGAAATGTCTTTATTCCTTTGAAACTTTTGTGTGTGTAATATTTACTGTACATTTTTTATCGTCTATTTCACTTTTGTTTATTATCTATTTCACTTGCTTTGGCAATGTTAACATACGCTTCCCATGCCAATAAAGCCCCTTGAATTGAATTGATGGAAGAGAGAGGGGGCGAAGGGGGGTATTTTTTATTACCAGTTACTGGTGACTGACTGTATTTATGTGAATGTTATTACTGGTATGTTGCTGGTGACTGGGTGGATGTATGTGAATGTTATTACTGGTATGTTACTGGTGACTGGGTGGATGTATGTGAATGTTATTACTGGTATGTTACTGGTGACTGGGTGGATGTATGTGAATGTTATTACTGGTATGTTACTGGTGACTGGGTGGATGTATGGGAATGTTATTACTGGTATGTTACTGGTGACTGGGTGGATGTATGTGAATGTTATTACTGGTATGTTGCTGGTGACTGGGTGGATGTATGTGAATGTTATTACTGGTATGTTGCTGGTGACTGGGTGGATGTATGTGAATGTTATTACCGTTATGTTACTGGTGACTGGGTTTTCCGTGTGTGCTGTCCCCTGAAGGAAGGAATACTCTAGAACACACCGACAGGTTCACATTCTCCAACGGAACCTACCGTCATTGGACTCAACAAAGAGCCTCCGCCTCAGGCGTATACTGCAGGTCTGTACTGTGGTCGGCTATGCTCAATACATCACATCAACAACCGTTTCTGTCAAAGGATTCTTCAGAAGTTGACGTTCAAGGAGTAGTCGTGTATAGTTTACAAATGTCCTGATTCAAGGAACATGACCAGATCTCAGACCTCCACAAAGTTGCAATGACAACTTATTTGCATCTCTTTCATAAAAATGAAACCAATCTATATGTACAGTACCTTGACTCTGTGAACTTATGAGGCCTCAACACAGCCACGGTATGTTGTTGTTGTGTGCCTCGAGCTCCAATCAGAGGCACACTGAGGACATAACCAACCAACTGCAACGTCTGTCAGTCATTCAGCATCCTGTGGAGAAACCGACTGCATCAACAGTCAGTCATTCAGCATCCCGCGGAGAAACCAACTGCAGTGCTTTACAAACTACTACTCAGCTGATTTGACTTAGGCCCAGAGACTACAGCCAGACGCCACAGAAAGAGTTGCCCCTGGGTTTATTGTTCAAGTGAATGAATGTACTCAACTCGCTATTTGGAGTGTCTTGGTAAAAGAGGCAGAAAACATGTTGGCAGAATAAAGAAAGCAAACAGGCGTTGAATGACTTTTAATTCGAATTGATCCAACCTTAGTTTAAGGGGAGTGAATGGAGAGGAGTGAAGATAGATGGGAAATTGGTGAATCTAACATTCGAAATGAAGGGGTTAATGTAAAAAAAAAACAGAATGGAATGGTGCTTGGTGGAATGGTGATTGGTGGAATGGTGCTTGGTGGAATGGTGCTTGGTGGAATGGTGCTTGGTGGAATGGTGCTTGGTGGAATGGTGATTGGTGGAATGGTGATTGGTGGAATGGTGCTTGGTGGAATGGTGCTTGGTGGAATGGTGATTGGTGGAATGGTGCTTGGTGGAATGGTGCTTGGTGGAATGGTGATTGGTGGAATGGTGCTTGGTGGAATGGTGATTGGTGGAATGGTGCTTGGTGGAATGGTGATTGGTGGAATGGTGCTTGGTGGAATGGTGCTGGTGGAATGGTGCTTGGTGGAATGGTGCTTGGTGGAATGGTGATTGGTGGAATGGTGCTTGGTGGAATGGTGCTTGGTGGAATGGTGCTTGGTGGAATGGTGCTTGGTGGAATGGTGCTTGGTGGAATGGTTCTTGGTTGTTAACTTCAGGAGGTGGAATGGAGGAATGGTGGTGCTTGGTTGGTTGTTGTCTTCAGGAAGTGTTACTCCTCTTTCTGGTCTCTTCCTCGTGGTTGCTGTCACAGCTCCTCTGAAAACACAACCAGTATTCTAATGTGCTGTTGTCTATTTCTAGGCAGTAGCTAAACCTACACTCTGTTTCTCTGTAATAGCTCCAGTAATAGATGTTAATATAATATATTTTAGGTAGGCCATCATCTATGTTCTCCAGAGTTGACCGTGGCTAAACACAATGACATGTTCAGTATGTTACCGAGTTACTGTAATTATAGATATGAATGGCAGATCTGTGTGAATGACTTTCTGTATCTGCTGAGACGACAACACAACAATATTTGTGTTTACGTAACCGAGGGCAACAACACACCAGTTCTTGATCCATCACTAACCAGTTTACACACAAGTCCCATGACTGGCTGAGTGATCAGTGACATCAGCAGCATTAGACTGTGTAATATTAATGGGTTAATTAGACATAGACTGTTTAATATTCATGGGTTAGTTAGACATAGACTGTTTAATATTAATGGGTTAGTTAGACATAGACTGTAATATTAATGGGTTAATTAGACATAGACTGTAATATTAATGGGTTAATTAGACATAGACTGTAATATTAATGGGTTAGTTAGACATAGACTGTAATATTAATGGGTTAGTTAGACATAGACTGTTTAATATTAATGGGTTAATTAGACATAGACTGTGTAATATATATGGGTTAATTAGACATAGACTGTAATATTAATGGGTTAATTAGACACAGACTGTTTAACATTAATGGGTTAATTAGACATAGACTGTAATATTAATGGGTTAATTAGACATAGACTGTTTAATATTAATGGGTTAATTAGACATAGACTGTAATATTAATGGGTTAATTAGACATAGACTGTAATATTAATGGGTTAGTTAGACATAGACTGTAATATTAATGGGTTAGTTAGACATAGACTGTGTAATATTAATGGGTTAGTTAGACATAGACTGTTTAATATTAATGGGTTAATTAGACATAGACTGTGTAATATATATGGGTTAATTAGACATAGACTGTAATATTAATGGGTTAATTAGACACAGACTGTTTAACATTAATGGGTTAATTAGACATAGACTGTAATATTAATGGGTTAATTAGACATAGACTGTTTAATATTAATGGGTTAATTAGACATAGACTGTAATATTAATGGGTTAATTAGACATAGACTGTAATATTAATGGGTTAATTAGACATAGACTGTGTAATATTAATGGGTTAATTAGACATAGACTGTAATATTAATGGGTTAATTAGACACAGACTGTTTAATATGAATGGGTTAATTAGACATAGACTGTAATATTAATGGGTTAACAGGACCATACTAGGACTAAAAGGCTTTTGGACATGGTTCTGCTCTTCTTGTGACATGATGTGGACTTCATCATGTGTCCAGTACAGGGGTGTAATGAAGTGTATTCCAGGGATACAACAGACTCTACATGTAGTACTGTATCACTGTGTTTGGCTGATACAGTACACACACACACACACACACACACACACACACACACACACACACACAGACACACATACACACACACACACACACACACACACAATCACATGTGTAGCATTTCAATCGATAAGGTCTTTATCAGGTTCAGTGGGTTTAGATCAGGTAGGTACAAGCATGTAAAACACACATACAAAAATAACACTATCGACTAACTTCAACCTGATCTCAGAAGGTAGGCCTGATGTCATTAATGCTGTCTGCTCATTATCATTCCTCTACCAAAAACTGCATCAACATTATCAACACTTGGCATTGAGTTATGGAAGAAAAAAACAAGCTACTTATAAGTTGCAGACTTTAAAATAAAACCTCAAAATCTATCAAGCCTCTTATAGCATTCTTAGTAAACACAAAGAGAAGCCATTATAAATACTTTGACATTTCATTTTAGCTGATCACAAAAATAATACTAACGTTTAACAAGGAAAACTAACTAAAGTAAGAATATTCCAAAGAGATGACTCCCAGTGTCTTCTCCTTCCTGTGTCTGTCATTGTCTCTGGGCTCCTGTAACTGCTGATATCTCTACTGTCCAGACTTATACAATACTATACTATACTATACTATACTGTACTGTACTGTACTGTACTGTACTATACTATACTATACTATACTATACTATACTATACTGTACTGTACTGTACTGTACTATCCAGACACATACTATACTATACTATACTATACTATACTATACTATCCAGACTCAATCAGATCCAGGTTGATACTATACAATACAATACAATACAATACAATACAATACTATACTATACTATACTATACTATACTATACTATACTATACTATACTATACTATACTATACTATACTACACTACACTACACTACACTATACTATACTATACTATACTATACTATACTATACTATACTATACTATACTCTACTCTACTCTACTCTACTATACTATTCAGACTCAGTCAGGTCCAGGTTGATACTATAATATACTATACTATACTATACTATACTATACTATACTATACTATACTATACTATACTATACTATACTATACTATACAATACAATACAATACTATATTATACTATACTAAACTATACTATACTATACTATACTATACTATACAATACAATACAATACAATACTCTACTCTACTCTACTCTACTCTACTCTACTCTACTCTACTCTACTCTACTCTACTCTACTCTACTCTACTCTACGATACTATACCATACTATCTCTTCAATCCAGACTCAGTGAAGTTCAGGCTAATCTCAGACAGCAGATCTCCTCCACAGCTTCTGTTCAGCATTTCCTTCAGCGCCTCATTCACATCATTATTAAACACAGTGGAGAAGTTACAGTTGGGGTAGCCCCCTCCTCCTCCTCCTCCACCCCCTCTTCCGACCCCACCGACCCCGTCCGTGACCCCAAACGACCCCACCACGTCCTGCACCCACTTCAGCTCGTCGCTCAGCTCCTGTCTTAGGGCGTCAAAGTGGCTCTTCCTCTCCTGGTAGCGGGCGCTAACGTTGCTGACGCTAACATCCACCACCTTCATCTCATCCTGCAGGCTCCTCTTCATCACCTCCACCTTACGGAACTCATAGCGGATCTGAGACAGCTGGTGGCGGACCCCCTCGCTCTCCTCCTTGTACCAGGACTCCTTGTGGTTGTAGATGGAGACCAGGGCGTCGATGTCCTCCTGCAGGGAGTCGTGGGCCGAGGCTAGCCCAGAGAAGGAGCCCTCCATCTGGCTGATGTCCTCCACTACCTGGGCGAAGCGTTCGAAGTTGGCATAGGTGTTGTTGGGGGGCATGGAGGAGTGGGACTTCATGGTATACTCCTTGAGACGTTTGGTCTTCAGCTGACGGCGCTCGCGCTTCTTGGGGGTCTTGGTCTGGTCCGGGGTCTTGGTGCTGGGGGTCTTGGTCTGGTCCGGGGTCTTTGTGCTGGGGGTCTCCTCCTTGTACTCATTAGACTTGAGACACAAGAGATGAGGAAGAAAGATGGAGGGTTACTGAGCTGGAAGTCACTTACTGGCACTGCATGCAATGCATTGATGATGTTCTGTCCAGCATTGGAATATAAGCCAGTGGTCAGATGCATCCATTACCAAACCACAGACAACACTCCAGGTGAGATGGTCAGTTATTCATTACCAAACCACAGGCAACACTCCAGGTGAGATGGTCAGTTATTCATTACCAAACCACAGACAACACTCCAGGTGAGATGGTCAGTTATTCATTACCAAACCACAGGCAACACTCCAGGTGAGATGGTCAGTTATTCATTACCAAACCACAGACAACACTCCAGGTGAGATGGTCAGTTATTCATTACCAAACCACAGGCAACACTCCAGGTGAGATGGTCAGTTATTCATTACCAAACCACAGACAACACTCCAGGTGACATGGTCAGTTATTCATTACCAAACCACAGACAACACTCCAGGTGAGATGGTCAGTTATTCATTACCAAACCACAGACAACACACCAGGTGACATGGTCAGTTATTCATTACCAAACCACAGGCAACACTCCAGGTGAGATGGTCAGTTATTCATTACCAAACCACAGGCAACACTCCAGGTGACATGGTCAGTTATTCATTACCAAACCACAGGCAACACTCCAGGTGAGATGGTCAGTTATTCATTACCAAACCACAGACAACACTCCAGGTGAGATGGTCAGTTATTCATTACCAAACCACAGGCAACACTCCAGGTGAGATGGTCAGTTATTCATTACCAAACCACAGGCAACACTCCAGATGAGATGGTCAGTTATTCATTACCAAACCACAGGCAACACTCCAGGTGACATGGTCAGTTATTCATTACCAAACCACAGGCAACACTCCAGATGAGATGGTCAGTTATTCATTACCAAACCACAGGCAACACTCCAGATGAGATGGTCAGTTATTCATTACCAAACCACAGACAACACTCCAGGTGAGATGGTCAGTTATTCATTACCAAACCACAGGCAACACTCCAGGTGAGATGGTCAGTTATTCATTACCAAACCACAGGCAACACTCCAGGTGAGATGGTCAGTTATTCATTACCAAACCACAGACAACACTCCAGGTGACATGGTCAGTTATTCATTACCAAACCACAGGCAACACTCCAGGTGAGATGGTCAGTTATTCATTACCAAACCACAGGCAACACTCCAGGTGAGATGGTCAGTTATTCATTACCAAACCACAGACAACACTCCAGGTGACATGGTCAGTTATTCATTACCAAACCACAGACAACACTCCAGGTGAGATGGTCAGTTATTCATTACCAAACCACAGACAACACTCCAGGTGAGATGGTCAGTTATTCATTACCAAACCACAGGCAACACTCCAGGTGAGATGGTCAGTTATTCATTACCAAACCACAGGCAACACTCCAGGTGACATGGTCAGTTATTCATTACCAAACCACAGGCAACACTCCAGGTGAGATGGTCAGTTATTCATTACCAAACCACAGACAACACTCCAGGTGAGATGGTCAGTTATTCATTACCAAACCACAGGCAACACTCCAGGTGAGATGGTCAGTTATTCATTACCAAACCACAGGCAACACTCCAGGTGACATGGTCAGTTATTCATTACCAAACCACAGGCAACACTCCAGGTGACATGGTCAGTTATTCATTACCAAACCACAGGCAACACTCCAGGTGAGATGGTCAGTTATTCATTACCAAACCACAGACAACACTCCAGGTGAGATGGTCAGTTATTCATTACCAAACCACAGGCAACACTCCAGGTGACATGGTCAGTTATTCATGACCAAACCACAGGCAACACTCCAGGTGAGATGGTCAGTTATTCATTACCAAACCACAGGCAACACTCCAGATGAGATGGTCAGTTATTCATTACCAAACCACAGGCAACACTCCAGGTGACATGGTCAGTTATTCATTACCAAACCACAGGCAACACTCCAGGTGAGATGGTCAGTTATTCATTACCAAACCACAGGCAACACTCCAGGTGACATGGTCAGTTATTCATTACCAAACCACAGGCAACACTCCAGGTGAGATGGTCAGTTATTCATTACCAAACCACAGGCAACACTCCAGGTGAGATAGTCAGTTATTCATTACCAAACCACAGGCAACACTCCAGGTGAGATGGTCAGTTATTCATTACCAAACCACAGGCAACATGCCAGGTGAGATGGTCAGTTATTCATTACCAAACCACAGGCAACACTCCAGGTGAGATGGTCAGTTATTCATTACCAAACCACAGACAACACACCAGGTGACATGGTCAGTTATTCATCTTTCTACCACAGCTGTCTTTTGTCAACTGGTTGCACATTTAAGTTAGAGTCACAAACGTGTCAAGACAGACATGTTATCAGGAAAAACTCATCTGATTGAATCACACGTCTGATTCAAACTAACAGTCTAGAGCTTCCTCTATCTTAATAGCAAGGTCATCATATCTTATACATTGTCAGTGGGGGGTGCAGTCCATAACAGCTTAACATGCATTACATTACATGGTCATAAACCAGGTATGTAAAAAACCGTACAAACAAGAAACAAATACCTTTCTGCCCTTGAACAGTAAATGTCACAGTATAATTATGAAGCTGTTATGCAAACTATAAAATGCATGAAGAGGCCTTGAGGCAAGTTATGTCACAAAAAGAAAACATGCATGTCTTAACATCGTCTATCACGGCTGTTTTCATGTGACCATTATATACCTTGATCCAGGTGTGGTTGAGAGCATCTTGAATAGTTAATCTCTTCCTGTAAGACAAACATGTTCATGTACTCACAAGGGGGGGGGGGGGGGGGGGCAGACAGAACAGAGGGACGTCTGTAACTTGATTTTAGACTGTGACAGTGTAAGTCTGTTTTGACCTTGTACACAGATCACTCCGCGTTACTGTCATCAAGAGAGTGTGTACTGTGTAGAGTCATGCAGAGTAACGTAAAGAAACCTCATGGTCTCGAAAGTGTGTTAATATGTTACATCACTTTTTCTATACAGCTGTTCTACGATGTGCTGTGGAAACACAATACAGAATTTGCCTTCCCTGAGCCAGGAAGACTAGTGTGAGCTTCCATAGATATTGTCTAGGCTTTAGCTCAGCGGTCTAACAGTCTTTTGGCACACACAGAAAACGCAGGTTCTAAAACCTCACCCTCTCCACCTCACCTCTGACTCCTCTCCTCCTCACCCTCTGCACCTCACCCCTGACCCCTCACCTCTGACTCCTCCTCTCCTCTCCTCTCCACCTCACCCCTGACCCCTCACCTCTGACTCCTCCTCTCCTCTCCTCTCCCCCTCACCTGACTCCTCCTCTCCTCTCCACCTCACCCCTGACCCCTCACCTCTGACTCCTCCTCTCCTCTCCTCTCCCCCTCACCTGACTCCTCCTCTCCTCTCCACCTCACCCCTGACCCCTCACCTCTGACTCCTCCTCTCCTCTCCTCTCCCCCTCACCTGACTCCTCCTCTCCTCTCCACCTCACCCCTGACCCCTCACCTCTGACTCCTCCTCTCCTCTCCTCTCCCCTCACCTGACTCCTCCTCTCCTCTCCACCTCACCCCTGACCCCTCACCTCTGACTCCTCCTCTCCTCTCCACCTCACCCCTGACTCCTCCTCTCCTCTCCCACCTCACCCCTGACTCCTCCTCTCCTCTCCACCTCACCCCTGACTCCTCCTCTCCTCTCCACCTCACCCCTGACTCCTCCTCTCCTCTCCACCTCACCCCTGACTCCTCCTCTCCTCTCCACCTCACCCCTGACTCCTCCTCTCCTCTCCACCTCACCCCTGACTCCTCCTCTCCTCTCCACCTCACCCCTGACCCCTTCACCTCTGACCCCTCACCTCTGACTCCTCCTCTCCTCTCCACCTCACCTCTGACCCCTTCACCTCTTGTCTCTCTCCAGTAGTTGTCATATGAAGTTATTAGCCAGCTTGCCGGTTCTGCAGAAGAACTCCTGGTCAAACTCACTCCTGACCCCCAACCGGTTGTCCCTCTCCACCTCACCTCTGACCTCTGACCCCTCCAACTCACATCTTGTCTCTCTCCAGTAGCTGTCGTATGAAGCTTTTGGCCAGCTCACTGGTTCTGCAGAAGAACTCCTGGTCAAACTCGTAGTTCATGGCTGAGATGTTGGCCAGCGTGTCCTGTTGAGTCTCTCCCAGGAAGGGAGACGCTCCACTCAGCCTGGAGCACAACAACAAGGCCAGAACAGGAGGAGGGGAGCGTTAGGAACATTGTTGCTAGCCTTTTATCTCTCCCTCCCCCTCTTAAGTGATAATGCCCTCGAAGCCGGTGTATGGAGGACATATTGACACGGGTGTTGTTAGGCCCGAGACGAAGTCTAACAACACCCGTACCAATATATCCTCCAAACACCGGCTTCGAGGGCATTATCACTTTTATACAACGGGTTTACCAACGTATTTCAAATAATGATTGACATATTTTCATTAGAAATGTTATTTAGATTAATTTATTCATACTATTTTCATCCTTCCACAAAATATAGTCCCGACACAAATCTAGGGTTGCTAGAGACGCTTATTTGGATACATCCAGAACAATGAGCCAATGAGGCGCGACTCCCGACTCCTGACACGTTCATTACTATGGGACAGCTGGAGATCGAATTTGAATAATGAAACAATGTTGCAAATGTTGGAGAGACAGACAGCAAGGTTTATACAAATCTCCACTGTTGAAAACCAAATGTTAGTCTAAAAGAAATGTGAGATAATGTCTAGATGCTATTTATAGTGGCAATCAAGTTTATAAATTGCCTGGCTGGGCTGATGAGACAGTGGATTGGGCAGTCAGATGGAACAGAGTAAAATAGGCATTTTAACGTCATAGATTTAGCCGGTTTTAACCAATCAGCCTTCAGGATTAGACCCACCCGTTGTATAATTATATGTATTCATCTACGCCAACCCTGTTACATGTATGTTTATTTGATGTCTGTTGTGTACCATGATGTTAAAACATGCTTAATGTTGTGTTGAACTCACAGGATATAAGTGATAACTCCTATACTCCACATATCTGCCTCCAGTCCCAGTGGTTCGTAGTTCACTATCTCTGGGGCTGAAACAGACAGGTGACCAATCAGCAGAAGACTGCACTAATGCATCAATGATAGAAAAGTCATTGGATCAAAATAGTGTATTTCTTTAATATTATCTTTAATTTGTCACTAGAAGACTGAATTAATGACAGAAAAGTAATTACATAAAAACAGTGTATTTCCTAATATTATCTTTAATGTGTCAATAACAGACAGAATTCATTAGATTATTATTATTTCCTATTAATACCTGTGATTTGTCACATTGATAATGTAGTTATTCATATTCATGTATAGTAGTCTAGTTATGGCATGTTTATGTGAGCCAGTCTCAAGACTGAAATCTTACCCACAAATTCAGGAGTCCCAAAAATGTTTTTAAACTCTGCCCCCGCCTCGATTTTGTGAGCGAGTCCGAAATCGATTAGTTTGATCCTTGGCAAGGGCACGTTCTTGTCCAACAGCATGATGTTTTCAGGCTGAACAACAGAAAGAGAGAGAGGGGATTTGCTGAGAGAGCATTTTTGATCATCAGTGTGCATGAGTTTACTGGACCTGTTGCAGTCCTGCCTCCTTAGGTGCAAAATGGTCCGAAAATAATGATAAACCCTGTCAAACCCAACGCCAGATAAACCCTGTCAAACCCAACGTCAGATAAACCCTGTCAAACCCAACGCCAGATAAACCCTGTCAAACCCAATGTCAGCTTTGGAGAAAAGAAATACTGAAAATGCAAAAAGGTAGCTGTGAATTCGTAAATGTAGAGATCAGAACATAAACACAGCTGGATGTGAGAAGTGCACTGTCAGAGAGGTCGGGGGTTAGGGGTCAGGGTCAGAGAGGTCGGGGGTTAGGGGTCAAGGTCAGAGAGGTCGGGGGTTAGGGGTCAAGGTCAGAGAGGTCGGGGGTTAGGGGTCAGGGTCAGAGAGGTCGGGGGTCAGGGGTCAGGGTCAGAGGGCTTAAGCATGTGATGAAAAAGTAGTCCAGCCCTGTTAAATGGACGGCCGGTCATATTCTGCAGGGCTGCTCCTCTCCTGTTTCCTCCACCCGGGTGACACCTTTTAACATATTGGTCAAACATATTGCACTCAGACCTTCTATCACATTTACTGTACTGCCTTCCTGACTTTGGCATGGCCAGCCAGCCGTGGTGTCAAGGAGACGTCACACCTGGACTTCATACAGCCAGCCGTGGTGTCAAGGAGACGTCACACCTGGACTTCATACAGCCAGCCGTGGTGTCAAGGAGACGTCACACCTGGACTTCATACAGCCAGCCGTGGTGTCAAGGAGACGTCACACCTGGACTTCATACAGCCAGCCGTGGTGTCAAGGAGACGTCACACCTGGACTTCATACAGCCAGCCGTGGTGTCAAGGAGACGTCACACCTGGACTTCATACAGCCAGCCGTGGTGTCAAGGAGACGTCACACCTGGACTTCATACAGCCAGCCGTGGTGTCAAGGAGACGTCACACCTGGACTTCATACAGCCAGCCGTGGTGTCAAGGAGACGTCACACCTGGACTTCATACAGCCAGCCGTGGTGTCAAGGAGACGTCACACCTGGACTTCATACAGCCAGCCGTGGTGTCAAGGAGACGTCACACCTGGACTTCATACAGCCAGCCGTGGTGTCAAGGAGACGTCACACCTGGACTTCATACAGCCAGCCGTGGTGTCAAGGAGACGTCACACCTGGACTTCATACAGCCAGCCGTGGTGTCAAGGAGACGTCACACCTGGACTTCATACAGCCAGCCGTGGTGTCAAGGAGACGTCACACCTGGACTTATACAGCCAGCCGTGGTGTCAAGGAGACGTCACACCTGGACTTCATACAGCCAGCCGTGGTGTCAAGGAGACGTCACACCTGGACTTCATACAGCCAGCCGTGGTGTCAAGGAGTGTCACACCTGGACTTCATACAGCCAGCCGTGGTGTCAAGGAGACGTCACACCTGGACTTCATATGTGCCTCAGTCTGTACAGTCTGCGTCCCAAATGGCACCCGACTCCCTCTCCCTCTCCCCTGTCTCCCCTCCCTCTCCCCTGTCTCCCCTCCCTCTCCCTCCTCTGTCTCTCCCGTCTCCCTCTCCCTCTCCCCTGTCTCCCCTCCCTCTCCCTCCTCGTCTCCATCTCCCCTCTCTCTCCCTGTCTCCCCTCCTCTCCTCTCCCTTCTCCCTCTCCCATCTCCCTCTCCCCTGTCTCCCCTCCCTCTCCCTCCTCTGTCTCTCCCATCTCTCTCTCCCTCTCCCTCCCTGTCCCTCTCTTCTCTCCCTCCCCCCTCTCTCTCCCTGTCTCCCTCCCTCTCCCGTCCTCTTCCCCTCTCCCCTTCTCCTCTCCCTCTCCCTCCTCTCTCTCCCTCTCCCCTCTCCCCTCTCTCCCTCTTCTCCTCTCCCCTGTCTCCCCTCCCTCTCCCTCCTCTGTCTCTCCCATCTCCCTCTCCCTCGCCCCTTTCTCCCCTCCCTCTCCCTCCTCTGTCTCCTCCTCATCTTTCTCTCCCTCTCCCTGTCTCCCCTCCCTCTCCCTCCTCTGTCTCTCCCATCTCCCTCTCCCCTGTCTCCCCTCCTCTCCTCCTCCCTCCTCTCTCTCTCCTGTCTCCCCTGTCTCCCCTCCCTCTCCCTCCTCTGTCTCTCCCGTCTCCCCCTCCCCTCTCCCCTGTCTCCCCTCCCTCTCCCTCCTCTGTCTCTCCCATCTCCCTCTCCCCTGTCTCCCCTCCCTCTCCCTCCTCTGTCTCTCCCATCTCCCTCTCCCTCTCCCCTGTCTCCCCTCCTCTCCCTCCTCTGTCTCTCCCATCTCCCTCTCCCTCTCCCCTGTCTCCCCTCCCTCTCCCTCCTCTGTCTCTATCCATCTCCCTCTCCCCTGTCTCCCCTCCCTCTCCCTCCTCTGTCTCTCCCGTCTCCCCCTCCCCCTCTCCTCGTCTCCCTACTTCTCCCTCCTCTGTCTCTACCATCTCCCTCTCCCCTGTCTCCTCTCCCTCCTCTGTCTCTCCGACTCCCTCTCCCCTGTCTCCCCTCCTTCTCCCTCCTCTGTCTCTCCCATCTCCCTCTCCCTCTTCCCCTGTCTCCCCTCCCTCTCCCTCCTCTGTCTCTACCATCTCCCTCTCCCCTGTCTCCCCTCCCGCTCCCTCCTCTGTCTCTCCCGTTCTCCCCCTCCCTTCCCCTGTCTCCCCTCCCCCTCTCCCTCGCCTGTCTCTTCCCATCTCCCTCTCCCCTGTCTGCCTCCCCTGTCTCCCCTCCCTCTCCCCCTCGTGTCTCTTCTCCCATCTCCCTCTCCTCTCCCCTGTCTCCCCTCCCTCTGCTCCCTCCTCTGTCTCTCCCGTCTCCCCCCCCTCGCCCCTTTCTCCCCCTCCCTTCTCCCTCCTCTGTCTCTCCCATCTCCCCCTCCCTCTCCCCTGTCTCTCCCATCTCCCCTCCCTCTCCCTCCTCTGTCTCTCTCGTCTCCCCCAGTCTTCCTGTGGTGAGACCACAGCTAGCCTCTCTGTCAATGCTGGGAAGGACTGCACCCTTATTGAACGCTCTTCCATACCTGACACAGCACTTTCTCTCTCTCCCCCTCTCTGTTCATCTCTCTATCTGAGGTAGAGTGCTGTGAGCTGCACCCCAGCCCTGCCTCTCCCTAATGGGATTTACAGTATGAAGCTCTCAGCGGTACAGATTTCAGCAGTCCAGCCCTCATGCAAGCAAGCTCCCTGCATTATACAGCTTCCTCCTATTGTAGCCCTGTATTATACAGCTTCCTCCTATTGTAGCCCTGTATTATACAGCTTCCTCCTATTGTAGCCCTCTACTATACAGCTTCCTCCTATTGTAGCCCTGTATTATACAGCTTCCTCCTATTGTAGCCCTGTATTATACAGCTTCCTCCTATTGTAGCCCTGTATTATACAGCTTCCTCCTATTGTAGCCCTGTATTATACAGCTTCCTCCTATTGTAGCCCTCTACTATACAGCTTCCTCCTATTGTAGCCCTGTATTATACAGCTTCCTCCTATTGTAGCCCTGTATTATACAGCTTCCTCCTATTGTAGCCCTGTATTATACAGCTTCCTCCTATTGTAGCCCTCTACTATACAGCTTCCTCCTATTGTAGCCCTGCATTATACAGCTTCCTCCTATTGTAGCCCTGTATTATACAGCTTCCTCCTATTGTAGCCCTGTATTATACAGCTTCCTCCTATTGTAGCCCTGTATTATACAGCTTCCTCCTATTGTAGCCCTGTATTATACAGCTTCCTCCTATTGTAGCCCTGTATTATACAGCTTCCTCCTATTGTAGCCCTGTATTATACAGCTTCCTCCTATTGTAGCCCTGTATTATACAGCTTCCTCCTATTGTAGCCCTGTATTATACAGCTTCCGCCTATTGTAGCCCTGTATTATACAGCTTCCTCCTATTGTAGCCCTGTATTATACAGCTTCCTCCTATTGTAGCCCTGTATTATACAGCTTCCTCCTATTGTAGCCCTGTATTATACAGCTTCCTCCTATTGTAGCCCTGTATTATACAGCTTCCCTCCTATTGTAGCCCTGTATTATACAGCTTCCTCCTATTGTAGCCCTGTATTATACAGCTTCCTCCTATTGTAGCCCTGTATTATACAGCTTCCTCCTATTGTAGCCCTGTATTATACAGCTTCCTCCTATTGTAGCCCTGTATTATACAGCTTCCTCCTATTGTAGCCCTGTATTATACAGCTTCCTCCTATTGTAGCCCTGTATTATACAGCTTCCTCCTATTGTAGCCCTGTATTATACAGCTTCCTCCTATTGTAGCCCTGTATTATACAGCTTCCTCCTATTGTAGCCCTGTATTATACAGCTTCAATCCAACATCTTTCTGCTGATCTTATAAAAACATTCCTCTTTAAAGAGAAAAGCCACTGAAACCACCATTCATGTTTATATCAAATAGTACAAGCTGCTGAAAACTTGATGAAATATCATCCATATTTTATGTTTCACAGGAGAGAGAAAAAGGAGAAGTGACTGTATTGGATTGAACTCTGGGTTGTAAGAAGTTATTAATTCATGAGTGGTGCCGTGGCAGTTCTCTTTCAATGGAGAGTCGTACCAGCGTGGTTGTGAGGATGGGCACCATGGCAGTAGGACCAGCGTGTTGTGAGGATGGGCACCATGGCAGTAGGACCAGCGTGTTGTGAGGATGGGCACCATGGCAGTAGGACCAGCGTGTTGTGAGGATGGGCACCATGGCAGTAGGGCCAGCGTGTTGTGAGGATGGGCACCATGGCAGTAGGACCAGCGTGGTTGTGAGGATGGGCACCATGGCAGTAGGACCAGCGTGTTGTGAGGATGGGCACCATGGCAGTAGGGCCAGCGTGTTGTGAGGATGGGCACCATGGCAGTAGGACCAGCGTGTTGTGAGGATGGGCACCATGGCAGTAGGGCCAGCGTGTTGTGAGGATGGGCACCATGGCAGTAGGGCCAGTGTGTTGTGAGGATGGGCACCATGGTAGTAGGACCAGTGTGTTGTGAGGATGGGCACCATGGCAGTAGGGCCAGTGTGTTGTGAGGATGGGCACCATGGCAGTAGGACCAGTGTGTTGTTGAGGATGGGCACCATGGCAGTAGGACCAGCGTGTTGTTGAGGATGGGCACCATGGTAGTAGGGCCAGCGTGTTGTTGAGGATGGGCACCATGGCAGTAGGACCAGCGTGTTGTGAGGATGGGCACCATGGTAGTAGGACCAGTGTGTTGTGAGGATGGGCACCATGGTAGTAGGACCAGTGTGTTGTGAGGATGGGCACCATGGCAGTAGGACCAGCGTGTTGTGAGGATGGGCACCATGGTAGTAGGACCAGTGTGTTGTGAGGATGGGCACCATGGTAGTAGGACCAGTGTGTTGTGAGGATGGGCACCATGGCAGTAGGACCAGCGTGTTGTGAGGATGGGCACCATGGTACTAGGACCAGCGTGTTGTGAGGATGGGCACCATGGTAGTAGGACCAGCGTGTTGTGAGGATGGGCACCATGGCAGTAGGACCAGTGTGTTGTGAGGATGGGCACCATGGCAGTAGGGCCAGTGTGTTGTGAGGATGGGCACCATGGTAGTAGGACCAGCGTGGTTGTGAGGATGGGCACCATGGCAGTAGGACCAGCGTGTTGTGAGGATGGGCACCATGGCAGTAGGGCCAGTGTGTTGTGAGGATGGGCACCATGGTAGTAGGACCAGCGTGTTGTGAGGATGGGCACCATGGCAGTAGGACCAGCGTGGTTGTGAGGATGGGCACCATGGTAGTAGGACCAGTGTGTTGTGAGGATGGGCACCATGGTAGTAGGACCAGTGTGGTTGTGAGGATGGGCACCATGGCAGTAGGACCAGCGTGTTGTGAGGATGGGCACCATGGTAGTAGGACCAGTGTGTTGTGAGGATGGGCACCATGGTAGTAGGACCAGCGTGTTGTGAGGATGGGCACCATGGTAGTAGGACCAGCGTGTTGTGAGGATGGGCACCATGGCAGTAGGACCAGCGTGTTGTGAGGATGGGCACCATGGTAGTAGGACCAGCGTGTTGTGAGGATGGGCACCATGGTAGTAGGACCAGCGTGTTGTGTTTAGTTGCAGCTGCTCTTCTGAATGAATGACATCACTAGACTGGCAGCACACTCAGAGTTAGACTGGCTCACCTAAGAGGGCTGTTGGCCACAGAGATGATTTGTCACCACAGAAACTAAATCTGGTCCTCGCCTCTAAAATGGCTACCTCATAAAGGCAGCACACACACACACACACACACACACACACACACACACACACACACACACCTTCAAATCAAAGTGTGCTATCTTCCTAGAGTGTAGGTAGTGGACCCCCTGTAGAATCTGTTTGATAAACTGAGTGGCTTCCTCTTCACTCAGAGACTCCTTCTGGGCCAGGAAGTCAAACAGCTCTCCTCCTGACACCCTGCAACACACACACACACACACACACACACACACACACACACACACACACACACACACACACTGAGCATCTCTCAATCGTAGCAGAACAGATGTTATAGGTGAAAGACCAAAACCAGAGTGGCTCCCAGGCTAAGACTGTGTTTGTTACTGTCTGAGACGGACCCATTATTAGCTGATGACAATTTCATGGATTATACATGACTACAACGTTTCTAAAAAAAAAAATCAGGGGCATTTCTCTCTGGCCTCATTCTGATTTGTCCGGACCATAGACAGTCTAGGGTCAGGGCCCCTACCCACAAAGCCTTTCAGAGTAGGAGTGCAATCAGTCCACATTAATCAATCAGTCCACATTAATCAATCAGCCCACATTAATCAATCAGTCCACATTAATCAATCAGTCCACATTAATCAATCAGTCCACATTAATCACTCAGCCCACATTAATCAATCAGTCCCATTAATCAATCAGTCCAATTAATCAATCAGCCCACATTAATCAAATCAGTCCACATTAATCAATCAGTCCACAAAGAAAGAAAAAAAAAAAAAAAACATTAACAATCATCCACATTATCAAATCAAGTCCACATAATCAATCAGTCCACATTATCCAAGTAATCATCAGTCCACATTAATCCAATCAGTCCCACAATTAACTCAATCCCAGTCCAACATTAATCAATCAGTCCACATTAATGTCCACATTAATCAATCAGTCCACATTAATCAATCAGTCCACATTAATCAATCAGCCCACATTAATCAATCAGCCCACATTAATCATCATCCACATTAAGTCCACATTAATCAATCAGTCCACATTAATCAATCAGTCCACATTAATCAATCAGTCCACATTAATCAATCAGCCCACATTAATCAATCAGTCCACATTAATCAATCAGTCCACATTAATCAATCAGTCCACATTAATCAATCAGTCCACATTAATCAATCAGTCCACATTAATCAATCAGTCCACATTAATCAATCAGTCCACATTAATGTCCACATTAATCAATCAGTCCACATTAATCAATCAGTCCACATTAATCAATCAGCCCACATTAATCAATCAGCCCACATTAATCAATCAGTCCACATTAATCAATCAGTCCACATTAATCAATCAGTCCACATTAATCAATCAGTCCACATTAATCAATCAGTCCACATTAATCAATCAGTCCACATTAATCTTATTCGTTATGATCTAAACTGGTCCTAGATCAGCACTCTTTACTCTGAGAGGCTTTGTGGCTACAGGCCCAGAGGGGTAATATACTACAAGGCAGGATCAATGAGTTAGCCAGCTAACTTTATAATAATAATAATATAATATGCCATTTAGCAGACGCTTTTATCCAAAGCGACTTACAGTCATGCGTGCATACATTTTTGTGTATGGGTGGTCCCGGGGATCGAACCCACTACCTTGGCGTTACAAGCGCCGTGCTCTACCAGCTGAGCTACAGCTTTGTTTGATAAACAACCAGAAATAAAACACACATTTCCTGGTTCATTAAGAAATGCTAATCTTAGAGATGTGTTTCCGTTTGTTGAGTCAACTAAATCATTCCCATTTCAAGCTTATCTTTCAAAAAAAAAAAAAAAAAAAAGTGATGTAAGAATATTTAGGCAAGTTAGCTGGCTAACTCCTTGGTCCTGGTTTGTAGTCTTCCCCCCTCTGGTGTCACTCACAACTCCAGGATGAGCACCACGTCAGTGCGGTTCTCGTAGACGTCGTGGAAGGTGACTATGTTGGGGTGTTGTGTCTGCTGCAGGATGTTGACCTCTCTCTCTATCTCCTCCCTCCTGACTCCCCGCCGGCTGGATCTGCTCTGACGTTTCTTGATGAACTTAGCGGCGAACTCCAGACCTGTGCTCTTCTCCCGGCAACGCTTCACGATGGCAAACTGACCACTGGAACCCAGACGAGAGGAGGGACACAAAAAATGATGAAAAAAATATTCAGCTTGAAAAAAAAATTGATGATTATGTTGTTAAAACCTGCACCATGTGTCTCTACAGAATCAGATCAGACGAACGGTAGATGGGAGGGTATGTTATTTCAGTGTCAGAGAGGAAAGGTCCGTTACGTGTCAGGGGGGAATCGTCAGAGGATTTTCATGTATTATACAATAGAACATTTCTAATATCTGTTGCGGCAGTGTGTAAAACACTGTCTCTTTAAATCCTGTAAATAACCACGGTGCAGTCAGAAGGTGTGGTATGTTGAAGGGTTAACTCAATTTGTCCTGCAGAATGTTCAGACATTTCCTGCGAGGCTACCGGGTCTATTCATAGTGGAGTGGTAATGCAGCAGTCAAGTCCATGTGACAGCATGAGCCGAGCATGACAACTCTGGGGTTTTACATCGTGCATTCACTTTCACAGACAACTAAACACATTTGAAAGACCATCAGGTGTTGTACAGACCTGTGTTCACCCGAATACGGTAGCCTATGGGAAATACTTTGCCGCACTTGATTTAGTAGTCTGCCATGTACAATGGAACCAACGGAATAGCAACCACAAATGCACACTCTAAGCTAAATCAAGCGCACCTCAAATACTTCCAATTCCTTAATGTCTAAGACCCAGCTCTGGGGTTTTCTCCTCACATACAAACAGAGGAAAGTAAAGAAACCGAGAGGATGTGGGAATAAAGTCAACGGTCATTCAGTGGCTGTATACCAAGTTGCACCCTACACTCTTAGGAAAAAAAGGTTCCAAAAGGGTTCTTCTGCTTTCCTCATAGGAGAACCCTGTTCAGTTCCAGGCAGAACTATTTTGGGTTCCATGTAGAACCCTCTGTGTAAAGGGTTCTACATGGAACTCAAAAAATATTCTACCTGGAACCAAAAAGGGTTCTTCAAAGGCTTCTCCTATGGGGACAGCCGAACAAACCCTTTTAGGTTCTAGATAGCAGCTTTTTTTTTTTTTGGAAGAGTGTATTCCCTATATAGTGCACTGCTTATGCCCAGGGCCCATAGGGGATAGGGTGCCATTTGGGATGCGAACAGTGATTGTGTCTCCATGTGTTTTTCCTCTACTGTCAGTACAGTGAGGCAGTGAGGTAAAGTACAGCTCCACTTCCTCATTCACGGTGTAGCTGTGTGAGTAGACATGAACACAGACCTCTAAAGATAGAAGGAAGCCATCTTGAAACAGCAGCGTGAGGGGTGACTGCCTGCCAGCTCAGCTGACTCTAGAGAAGTGACTTCAAATAAACTACTGGGTCACTGAGTACAGCCTGAGTGCTTTGAGAACCTGGACAGTACAAGGAAAAAGCTATGTTACCTCAACCAATATTCCCTTAATCTCTTTCAAACATCTAGTTTTCAACCTTGTTGATTTCCGGACTGGGTAAAGCTACAAAAAGGGAATTGAGATAGAGTTGCACATAGCGGCTAATGGCCTGTAGTGATGAGCTGCATGTCTATGGCCATATTATAAGATTCACGTTGTGGTCTTCTAATATGAACCAAAACGGTACAACACATTGTGAGGCAGCATGAAAGGAAGCCTTTTAAACAGTGCTTTCAGCTACGTCTTATCGCTGAGTCTACCTTTTAAACAGGTCTTTCAGCTACGTCATATCGCTGAGTCTACCTTTTAAACAGGTCTTTCATCTACGTCATATCGCTGAGTCTACCTTTTAAACAGTGCTTTCAGCTACGTCATATCGGTGAGTCTACCTTTTAAACAGGTCTTTCAGCTACGTCATATCGCTGAGTCTACCTTTTAAACAGGTCTTTCAGCTACGTCATATTGCTGAGTCTATCTTTTAAACAGTGCTTTCAGCTACGTCATATTGCTGAGTCTATCTTTTAAACAGTGCTTTCAGCTACGTCATATTGCTGAGTCTATCTTTTAAACAGTGCTTTCAGCTACGTCATATTGCTGAGTCTATCTTTTAAACAGTGCTTTCATCTACGTCATATCGCTGAGTCTACCTTTTAAACAGTGCTTTCAGCTACGTCATATTGCTGAGTCTATCTTTTAAACAGTGCTTTCAGCTACGTCATATTGCTGAGTCTATCTTTTAAACAGTGCTTTCAGCTACGTCATATTGCTGAGTCTACCTTTTAAACAGTGCTTTCAGCTACGTCATATCGCTGTCTACCTTTTAAACAGTGCTTTCATCTACGTCATATCGCTGAGTCTACCTTTTAAACAGTGCTTTCAGCTACGTCATATTGCTGAGTCTACCTTTTAAACAGTGCTTTCAGCTACGTCATATTGCTGAGTCTACCTTTTAAACAGTGCTTTCAGCTACGTCATATTGCTGAGTCTACCTTTTAAACAGGTCTTTCAGCTACGTCATATCGCTGAGTCTACCTTTTAAACAGTGCTTTCAGCTACGTCATATCGCTGAGTCTACCTTTTAAACAGTGCTTTCAGCTACGTCATATCGCTGAGTCTACCTTTTAAACAGGTCTTTCAGCTACGTCATATCGCTGAGTCTACCTTTAAACAGGTCTTGCAGTTATGTCATTTCGCTGAGTCTACCTTTAAACAGGTCTTTCAGCTACGTCATATTGCTGAGTCTATCTTTTAAACAGGTCTTTCAGCTACGTCATATCGCTGAGTCTACCTTTTAAACAGTGCTTTCAGCTACGTCATATTGCTGAGTCTACCTTTTAAACAGGTCTTTCAGCTACGTCATATCGCTGAGTCTACCTTTTAAACAGGTCTTGCAGTTATGTCATTTCGCTGAGTCTACCTTTAAACAGTGCTTTCAGCTACGTCATATTGCTGAGTGTATATTTTAAACAGGTCTTTCAGCTACGTCATATCGCTGAGTCTACCTTTTAAACAGTGCTTTCAGCTACGTCATATTGCTGAGTCTACCTTTTAAACAGGTCTTTCAGCTACGTCATATCGCTGAGTCTACCTTTTAAACAGTGCTTTCATCTACGTCATATCGCTGAGTCTACCTTTTAAACAGTGCTTTCAGCTACGTCATATCGCTGAGTCTACCTTTTAAACAGTGCTTTCATTTACGTCATATCGCTGAGTCTACCTTTTAAACAGGTCTTTCAGCTACATCATATTGCTGAGTCTATCTTTTAAACAGGTCTTTCAGCTACGTCATATCGCTGAGTCTACCTTTTAAACAGTGCTTTCATTTACGTCATATCGCTGAGTCTACCTTTTAAACAGGTCTTTCAGCTACGTCATATTGCTGAGTCTATCTTTTAAACAGGTCTTTCAGCTACGTCATATCGCTGAGTCTACCTTTTAAACAGTGCTTTCATTTACGTCATATCGCTGAGTCTACCTTTTAAACAGTGCTTTCATTTACGTCATATCGCTGAGTCTACCTTTTAAACAGGTCTTTCAGCTACATCATATTGCTGAGTCTACCTTTTAAACAGTGCTTTCAGCTACGTCATATCGCTGAGTCTACCTTTTAAACAGGTCTTTCAGCTACGTCATATCGCTGAGTCTACCTTTAAACAGGTCTTGCAGTTATGTCATTTCGCTGAGTCTACCTGTTAAGGAGCTTTTTTGTCCTAGACTTGGTGCTCCGGTACCGCTTGGCCCCAGTGATGTACTGGGCAGTACGCACTACCCTCTGTAGCGCCTTACGGTCAGATGCAGAGCGGTTGCCATACCAGGTGGTGATGCAACCAGTCAGGATGCTCTCGATGGTGCAGCTGTATAACTTTTTGAGGATCTGGGGACCCATGCCAAATCTTGAGTGGGAAAAGGTGTTGTCGTGCCCTCTTCACAACTGTCATATCGCTGAGTCTACCTTTAAACAGGTCTTTCATCTATATGAGTATTCACACAGACACATCTGGAAGGACAGCCTGAGTATTCACACAGACACATCTGTAAGGATTCAACAACATCTGAATGCACTGATGCAGGATAATACCAGTGCCATCTCAGCTGTAGATATAACATCCGGAAAGTTCCTTTTCGTATATACAGAACAGTGTTTGTGAAGGTAGCAAGTAACAAAACAAGTGACACAACCCCATTCACTGTCATGTCAATAGAGCAACCCCATTCACTGTCATGTCAATAGAGCAACCACGTTCACTGTCATGTCAATAGAGCAACCCCAATTCACTGTCATGTCAATAGAGCAACCACATTCACTGTCATGTCAATAGAGCAACCCCATTCACTGTCATGTCAATAGAGCAACCACATTCACTGTCATGTCAATAGAGCAACCCCATTCACTGTCATGTCAATAGAGCAACCCCAATTCACTGTCATGTCAATAGAGCAACCACATTCACTGTCATGTCAATAGAGCAACCACATTCACTGTCATGTCAATAGAGCAACCATATTCACTGTCATGTCAATAGAGCAACCACATTCACTGTCATGTCAATAGAGCAACCACATTCACTGTCATGTCAATAGAGCAACCACATTCACTGTCATGTCAATAGAGCAACCACATTCACTGTCATGTCAATAGAGCAACCACATTCACTGTCATGTCAATAGAGCAACCACATTCACTGTCATGTCAATAGAGCAACCCCATTCACTGTCATGTCAATAGAGCAACCATATTCACTGTCATGTCAATAGAGCAACCACATTCACTGTCATGTCAATAGAGCAACCACATTCACTGTCATGTCAATAGAGCAACCACATTCACTGTCATGTCAATAGAGCAACCACATTCACTGTCATGTCAATAGAGAAACCCCATTCACTGTCATGTCAATAGAGCAACCATATTCACTGTCATGTCAATAGAGCAACCACATTCACTGTCATGTCAATAGAGCAACCATATTCACTGTCATGTCAATAGAGCAACCACATTCACTGTCATGTCAATAGAGCAACCACATTCACTGTCATGTCAATAGAGCAACCATATTCACTGTCATGTCAATAGAGCAACCACATTCACTGTCATGTCAATAGAGCAACCACATTCACTGTCATGTCAATAGAGCAACCACATTCACTGTCATGTCAATAGAGCAACCACATTCACTGTCATGTCAATAGAGCAACCACATTCACTGTCATGTCAATAGAGCAACCACATTCACTGTCATGTCAATAGAGCAACCACATTCCCTGTCATGTCAATAGAGCAACCACATTCACTGTCATGTCAATAGAGCAACCACATTCACTGTCATGTCAATAGAGCAACCATATTCACTGTCATGTCAATAGAGCAACCACATTCACTGTCATGTCAATAGAGCAACCACATTCACTGTCATGTCAATAGAGCAACCATATTCACTGTCATGTCAATAGAGCAACCCCATTCACTGTCATGTCAATAGAGCAACCCCAATTCACTGTCATGTCAATAGAGCAACCACATTCACTGTCATGTCAATAGAGCAACCACATTCACTGTCATGTCAATAGAGCAACCACATTCATTGTCATGTCAATAGAGCAACCATATTCACTGTCATGTCAATAGAGCAACCACATTCACGGTCATGTCAATAGAGCAACCATATTCACTGTCATGTCAATAGAGCAACCACATTCACTGTCATGTCAATAGAGCAACCACATTCACTGTCATGTCAATAGAGCAACCCCAATTCACTGTCATGTCAATAGAGCAACCCCATTCACTGTCATGTCAATAGAGCAACCCCAATTCACTGTCATGTCAATAGAGCAACCACATTCACTGTCATGTCAATAGAGCAACCACATTCACTGTCATGTCAATAGAGCAACCACATTCATTGTCATGTCAATAGAGCAACCATATTCACTGTCATGTCAATAGAGCAACCACATTCACTGTCATGTCAATAGAGCAACCATATTCACTGTCATGTCAATAGAGCAACCACATTCACTGTCATGTCAATAGAGCAACCCCATTCACTGTCATGTCAATAGAGCAACCCCAATTCACTGTCATGTCAATAGAGCAACCACATTCACTGTCATGTCAATAGAGCAACCACATTCACTGTCATGTCAATAGAGCAACCCCATTCACTGTCATGTCAATAGAGCAACCCCAATTCACTGTCATGTCAATAGAGCAACCCCATTCACTGTCATGTCAATAGAGCAACCACATTCACTGTCATGTCAATAGAGCAACCCCAATTCACTGTCATGTCAATAGAGCAACCCCATTCACTGTCATGTCAATAGAGCAACCACATTCACTGTCATGTCAATAGAGCAACCACATTCACTGTCATGTCAATAGAGCAACCACATTCACTGTCATGTCAATAGAGCAACCACATTCACTGTCATGTCAATAGAGCAACCATATTCACTGTCATGTCAATAGAGCAACCACATTCACTGTCATGTCAATAGAGCAACCACATTCACTGTCATGTCAATAGAGCAACCATATTCACTGTAATGTCAATAGAGCAACCCCATTCACTGTCATGTCAATAGAGCAACCCCAATTCACTGTCATGTCAATAGAGCAACCACATTCACTGTCATGTCAATAGAGCAACCACATTCATTGTCATGTCAATAGAGCAACCATATTCACTGTCATGTCAATAGAGCAACCCCATTCACTGTCATGTCAATAGAGCAACCACATCCACTGTCATGTCAATAGAGCAACCACATTCACTGTCATGTCAATAGAGCAACCACATTCACTGTCATGTCAATAGAGCAACCATATTCACTGTCATGTCAATAGAGCAACCCCATTCACTGTCATGTCAATAGAGCAACCATATTCACTGTCATGTTCATAGAGCAACCCCATTCACTGTCATGTCAATAGAGCAACCCCAATTCACTGTCATGTCAATAGAGCAACCCCAATTCACTGTCATGTCAATAGAGCAACCCCATTCACTGTCATGTCAATAGAGCAACCATATTCACTGTCATGTCAATAGAGCAACCCCATTCACTGTCATGTCAATAGAGCAACCCCATTCACTGTCATGTCAATAGAACAACCCCATTCACTGTCATGTCAATAGAGCAACCACATTCACTGTCATGTCAATAGAGCAACCACATTCACTGTCATGTCAATAGAGCAACCACATTCACTGTCATGTCAATAGAGCAACCACATTCACTGTCATGTCAATAGAGCAACCCACTTCACTGTCATGTCAATGTGTCCCTACGACTTTTGACCCTCAAAGGTTTCCTCTAAGTGCTCCATAATGTGACGTGGTTAAGGGACGAGATATGCATTACAATAGAATAGAACAGAATACAATGTAACTTTATTATAATCCTGTACCTTCCTAATTCTTCTCCGATGTGGTAGAAATCCTCCACTCTCTGCTGCTTGAACAAGGCCATGCCTGCAGTCTTCATTGACGGGGATGATGATGTGGTGATGATGTGTAATATCGCTGTTAGTCCCGGACGGGGTTCTCTATTCCTCCATTATAGGAGTAAACCCTGTCATAAAAGACGACAATATATTTATAATAGTTCAGCAGGGTCCGTGTTGCGTCTGCTTGGAGTAGCACAATAACAATCAGAATCAGAGAAACATTTAGCCTACATACAAACCTCTCTTTTTAATGATCATGACAATATAGTCATTACGACTAGAAAGTGTTATAAATAGTGTTATTCCTACTACCACTACTAGACTGTATGCCAACTCTTAAAAGCGACATAATGCAGGCACATTTGATGGAACTTCATAGCCTGCATCGCCAAATATCAAGGACATTGTGTAGCGCAAGACACTAGCTGACGCATACAGATAAACCATTAGAATAATGTTAAATAGGTAGAAATATAGCGCCATTTAAAAGGTCTTACCATGTCGAAGTTACTGTCAAAGCGTGTCCACAAACTTCTACGTTCACTCTTGGTTTTTTTTCGAAGTCTATGGAGCATTTCTCTGCTGACCAGGCGCACTCTCAGGTTCCCGGGGCTATCTTGCGCCAAACTAAATGTCACTTGTCACCACGCGAGTGAGCCGCCTTCCCTGAGTGTGTTTTCAAAGTTAAAAATAAAAGTGTGTGTGTGTGTCCGTTCTCGTCCACTGCGTATAACATACAATGACTGTACAAAACATTAAGAACACCTGCTCTTTCCATGACTGACCAGGTGAATCCAGGTTAAAGCTAATGTATGATCCCTTATTGATGTCACTTGTTAAATCCACTTCAGTCTGTGTAGATGAAGAGAAGGAGATAGGTTGAAGAAGGATTTTTAAGCCTTGAAACAAATTGAGGCATGGATTGTGTATGTGTGCCGTTCAGAGGGTGAATGGGCAAGACAAAAGTACAGGGTACGGTAGTAGGTGCCAGGCCCACTGGTTTGTGTCAAGAACTGCAATGCTGCTGGGTTCTTCATGCTCAATAGTTTCCCGTGTGTATTAAGAATGGTCCACCACCCAAAGGACATCCAGCCAACTTGACACAACTGTGGGAAGCATTGGAGTCAACATGTGCCAGCATCCCTGTAAAACGCTTTCGACACCTTGTAGAGTCCACGCCTCGACGAATTGATGCTGTTCTGAGGGCAAAAGGGGGTGCAACTCAATATTAGAAAGGTGTTCCTAAAATTGTGTACATTCAGTGTACATAGTACACATAGTATAGTATAGTATAGTATAGACCTCCCGAGTGGCGCAGTGGTCTAAGGCACTGCATCGCAGTGCTAGCTGTGCCACTAGAGATCCTGGTTCGAATCCAGGCTCTGTCGTAGCCGGCCGCGACCGGGAGACCCATGGGGCGGCGCACAATTGGCCCAGCGTCGTCCAGGGTAGGGGAGGGAATGGCCGGCAGGGATGTAGCAGGGATGCAGTTGGTAGAGCATGGCGTTTGCTATGCCAGGGTTTTGGGTTCGATTCCCACGGGGGGCCGGTATAAAAAATAAAAAATAATGTATGCACTCACTAACTGTAAGTCGCTCTGGATAAGAGCATCTGCTAAATGACTAAAATGTAAATGTATAGTATTCTATTATCGCACTGCTTTGCTTTATCTTGGCCAGGTCGCAGTTGTAAATGAGAACTTGTTCTCAACTGGCTTCTTACCTGGTTAAATAAAGGTGAAATAAAAATAAATAAATAAATAGTAAGGAGTGTTGAAAAGCCCTGCCATACGGTGTAGTGTAGTAACTATGCCACAAGAGGGCAGAATAGCACTAGGACATTAACACAGACACCATCACCTCGTTATAATACTGCATCAGGTATAGGCTTCTAATGGAATTCATTTAGATTCAGAAAGTCAAAGTGCTGGTAGAGAGAAGAGAGAGAGAGAGAGAGAGAGAGAGAGAGAGAGAGAGAGAGAGAGAGAGAGAGAGAGAGAGAAGAGAGAGAGACAGAGACGAGAAGAGAGATATAGGATAGCGCATAGAGAGCCGAGAATGCTCTCTTTCTAGCTCGCCTCACGCGATCTCTCGCTCCTCGCATCGTGATCGACGTCTCCTGCTAGCGCGAGATACGCTAGCTCGCGATCCTAGAGAGATTTTCAGAAAGGAGCAGATATGTAAGCACATTAAGTTTCTAACCACAATAGTCCCAGTGGATCAGGAGAGGACCGATGACAGATGGGTCCAGGTAGTGAATCAGGAGAGGACTGATGACAGATGGGTCCAGGTAGTGAATCAGGAGAGGACTGATGACAGATGGGTCCAGGTAGTGAATCAGGAGAGGTCTGATGACAGATGGGTCCAGGTAGTGGATCAGGAGAGGACCGATGACAGATGGGTCCAGGTAGTGGATCAGGAGAGGACCGATGACAGATGGGTCCAGGTAGTGGATCAGGAGAGGACCGATGACAGATGGGGCCAGGTAGTGAATCAGGAGAGGACCGATGACAGATGGGTCCAGGTAGTGGATCAGGAGAGGACTGATGACAGATGGGTCCAGGTAGTGAATCAGGAGAGGACCGATGACAGATGGGTCCAGGTAGTGGATCAGGAGAGGACTGATGACAGATGGGTCCAGGTAGTGGATCAGGAGAGGACTGATGACAGATGGGTCCAGGTAGTGGATCAGGAGAGGACTGATGACAGATGGGGCCAGGTAGTGGATCAGGAGAGGTCTGATGACAGATGGGTCCAGGTAGTGGATCAGGAGAGGACTGATGACAGATGGGTCCAGGTAGTGAATCAGGAGAGGTCTGATGACAGATGGGTCCAGGTAGTGGATCAGGAGAGGTCTGATGACAGATGGGTCCAGGTAGTGGATCAGGAGAGGACTGATGACAGATGGGTCCAGGTAGTGAATCAGGAGAGGTCTGATGACAGATGGGTCCAGGTAGTGGATCAGGAGAGGACCGATGACAGATGGGTCCAGGTAGTGGATCAGGAGAGGACCGATGACAGATGGGTCCAGGTAGTGGATCAGGAGAGGACCGATGACAGATGGGGCCAGGTAGTGAATCAGGAGAGGACCAATGACAGATGGGTCCAGGTAGTGGATCAGGAGAGGACTGATGACAGATGGGTCCAGGTAGTGGATCAGGAGAGGACTGATGACAGATGGGGCCAGGTAGTGGATCAGGAGAGGTCTGATGACAGATGGGTCCAGGTAGTGGATCAGGAGAGGACTGATGACAGATGGGTCCAGGTAGTGAATCAGGAGAGGACCGATGACAGATGGGGCCAGGTAGTGGATCAGGAGAGGACCGATGACAGATGGGTCCAGGTAGTGGATCAGGAGAGGACCGATGACAGATGGGTCCAGGTAGTGGATCAGGAGAGGACCGATGACAGATGTGGTGTAAATGACAGAGAACAGGTAATAGAAGAGAATCAGCCAATGGTATCAGATTCTGTACTCTGGGTAAATGTAATTACAGTGTTAGGTATTGATATCGATGCTGGGAAGACTGGAGTGTCCCTCATATTATGGGATAGATCACATTTCATCTATCCAGCAGAGAACACAGTGAAAACATCACAATGTTTGTCAGCTTGGTTTCAGGCTTATTTTCTTATTTTATGCCAATGTAAGTTCATCTGTTTATTTGTGGTTATTTAACGGGGATGCAGACAGACACACTAAACATAATACAGGGGTTATTTAACGGGATACAGACAGACAGACAGACAGACTAAACATAATACAGGGGTTATTTATTTTAGGGTTGGCAGAAACGTTTCCCCATATCCAGATATAATCAAAGTCAATAAGAAGAGTTAAAACGCAAACCAGTGTGGTGCTACATAGGCCCATATTATCACCTGTCAGGAGCCAATGAAACAGCCTTTGTATGTGTCACTGTCAATCTAGATTGCTTAATACAACACCTGTCAGCATCATGTCTCCAGATGAATTTGGCTGCTGAGTTCTGTTAAAAAGTCTAACTCGTGATCTGTTCTGTTATTAAAAACCTTTTACTGAAGTATCAGGGGCCACTGTCAGGGGTCACACAGTGTTTCTGGGTCGTCTTAAACTAAATCTAGTTTGATACAAAGTACACACCTCACACACATGGTTATGGGCTTAAAGACGGGAGACCCCTGGACCACGGCAGATGCAGAGTGGAAACGTCTTCCATTTTGTGTCTGCAGCCCAGTATGACACTTTACATACATCACAGAATACTGAAATATAATACAAAAACCGTTTGACGTTGAAACACCGAATTTTCGGCAGGTTTAATTTTTTAAAATGTTTATTAATTATGGAATTATGAAAAATATTAATAACATTCCACCCATGGGACCACTGGGTCATTTGACTGCAGGAAAGGGAGGTTAAACAGAAAGAGAGATAGGTAAATGACTGACTCAGGTATAGAGGTAGTAGGACTGGTAGAGGTGAGGACATTGGGGAAGATACACTGACACAATGGTACTGTTCATCACACACACACTCACTCACGCACGAATGCACACACACACACACACACACACACACTCACACTCATGCACACTCACGCACAAATGCACACACACACACACACACTCACACTCACGCACACTCACGCACAAATGCACACACACACACACACACACTCACACTCACGCACACTCACGCACGAATGCACATGCGCACACACACACACACTGGATGACGTGCAATGGAAAATATGAAAATGAGGCACTCAATCAGTCTCCGACCATTGTCAGAGCTCCTGTATGTGCTGAGTATAAGATGTGGTGGGTTTCAGCAGTGTGCTGGTGTCTATTCTTCTAGGATCTGTTTTCAACCTGGGACTGACACCTTTCATTAAGGACTGAGAAGAAGGTGCAGACGGCTGCTACCCACTGATTCTACGCTGCTCGGACCTGGTGACAGAGAGAAAGGAGAGAGAGACAGAGAAAGGAGAGAGAGAGAGAGAAAGGAGAGAGAGAGAGAAAGGAGAGAGACAGAGAAAGGAGAGAGAGAGAGAGATACAGAGAAAGGAGAGAGAGAGAGAGAGAGAGAGAGAGAGAGAGAGAGAGAGAGAGAGAGAGAGAGAGAGAGATACAGAGAAAGGAGAGAGAGACAGAGAGAGAGAGAGAGAGAGAGAGAGAGAGAGAGAGAGACAGAGAGAAAGGAGAGAGAGATACAGAGAAAGGAGAGAGAGAGAGAGAGAGAGAGAGAGAGAGAGAGAGAGAAAGGGAAGAGCGAATAGATCAGAGATAGAATAAAACAGAGGACCAGCTGTGCGGACCTTCATATGGAGTCTACAACAGAGGGAGGAGGAAGAGGAGGAGGAGGAGGAGGAGGAGGAGGGCTGAGGGAGCTGGTTCTAAAGTGGTTTACAGAGACCCAGGCCCCTCTCATTCTCCTTCATAATGGAAACTTTCCTGACTGGTTCCAAGGCTTCACCGCCAGAAAGTAAGTATTGTAAAGCACCTCAGAGGGTGTTACTGTCCATGCATAACTGAGGAATCAGGACAAGACAGGAAAGCGGTGGGAATACATAGAATTGTCTTGGTGTTACTTTTAGCAGATCAAATCTCTGTTTTTAGATATTTTGAAAGGACTGAAAGTGTATGAAGTTATCTGATTACTACTGTTACATAGTGTGGATGCCTCACTGTTAATTGAATATAGTAATACACTATAGATTCAAACCACAGCCTCTGAAACAGGCAGAAAGAATGATCATTTTAGCCTCTTTCTCTCAGGTGATTGTCATTTGTCAGCGAGTCTTTGTATAAACGTGAGAGAGCAAGACAGAGACAGAAGCTAGGTTTCCATCCAATCGGCAACAGATTTTCATGCGAACGTTCTAAAATCCACATAAAAAACATTTTCCCCACCAGAGATGTTCCCATCAAATGTGACTTGTTGCAGATCAAATGCTGTGCTTGATGACGTATTTTCACAAAATTATATACCTTTTTTTGTCATTAAATTCTCACGTACCGAATAAAAAATACAAGTTAAATGGGTTTCCATCACATTTTCACACAAAAGTGTCCCACTCTGGTTTTGGCATGAGCACTCTAGCCAACAGCTCTATCTGCGGGCTGTTGGGTAGAGCGTTCAGTTTGTAAAGCAACACGATGAGATTATTATTATTTACAAAAGAGAGAGATTATTTGTATTTGTCAAACGTCAGCCAAGCATCGATCATCATGTCATCAGAATAAGACCATCGATATTTTATTGGAAAGGAGCATCAAGCTCATCACCTTGCACTTTCACCACCCCGTGAAGTTCATCATCATTTATTTAATCTGTAGCCTAATAAACTGCATGCTTTCCCGACGAGTCGTAGTGGGAGGACCACACATGTCATCGCGTGACTCGTAAAAGTGTTTCCACCGACATTTCTCGCATAATTACTTTAACTGACACAAAAAGATCCCACCATGTCTAGCTTATTTTGTTTTGTCGACATTTTGAAAGTTTACCGAAACTTTTTCTGTTTTCATCAGGCCTGTCATGACGTTTTTTTATCTGACATGTACTTTACTGGCATAAAAAGGTTGGATGTAAACCTGTTTAGAGAGAGAGAGAGAGAGAGAGAGAGAGAGAGAGAGAGAGAGAGAGAGAGAGAGAGAGAGAGAGAGAGTGAGAGAAAGAGAGAGAGAGAGAGAGAAAGAGGGCGAGAGATAGAGAGATGAAGAGGGCGAGAGAGAGAGAGATGAAGAGGGAGAGAGAGAGGGGGGAGAGAGATATAGAGATAAAGAGGGAGAGAGAGAGATAAAGAGGGAGAGAGAGAGCAGGGTAAACAATGTGTAACAATGTGCTATACATTATATTAGACCTAATCTTCCTGTGACATCAGTGACAGTGTATATTGTTCGTTACTTCCTCCCTTTGTGTCAGGGAAGCAGAGGATCAGCTGAGAGATACGCCTCTGGGATGTTTTCTTATCAGACTCAGTGACAAAGCCATCGGATACATCCTCTCATACAAGTGAGTATTAGTACTGGTTCGGTTACCTAAGACACTTCATAACAAACATTATAATTCCTTTAAAAACAAAATGTGCGAGCATAGCCTACAGTGGGTTGGCTGGTTTTAAAGATTGCAATTGCATGTGGTTTTTAATCGAATAAATAAACAGGAAGCATATTTAGATTGTTCACCAAAACAAGGTCTGTAGTCAGTAATGTATGTTCTCATGACATCTCACTTCACTAACCCTGTATTCTTCCTCAGAGGACAAGACCGCTGCCGCCATTTTGTGATCAACCAGGACCAAGCTGGGCTGTTCATTATCTCCGGGGACGACCAACCTCACCACAGCCTCACAGATCTGATAGAGCACTACAGAGTCAATCCCATCCAGCCCTTTGGAGAGTACCTCACCTCTACATACTGTTGTCAGGTAGGAATACCAATAACATTACAGAGTACCTCATCTCTACATACTGTTGTCAGGTAGGAATACCAATAACATTACAGAGTACCTCACCTCTACATACTGTTGTCAGGTAGGAATACCAATAACATTACAGAGTACCTCACCTCTACATACTGTTGTCAGGTAGGAACACCAATAACATTACAGAGTACCTCATCTCTACATACTGTTGTCAGGTAGATGGGAGATGATGGAATAGGGCCAGTCTGAAACAGCACACTATTCCCTACATAAACTAGTGTGTAACTATTGTCCCTAGTGCACTGTGTTTGGCATACTCCTGAGTGGCGCAGTGGTCTAAGGCACTGCATCGCAGTGCTAACTGTGCCACTAGAGATCCTGGTTCGTATCCAGGCTCTGTCGCAGCCGGCCGCGACCGGGAGACTCATGGGCGGCGCACAATTGGCCCAGCGTCGTCCAGGGTAGGGGAGGGAATGGCCGGCAGGGATGTAGCTCAGTTGATAGAGCATGGCGTTTGCAACGCCAGGGTTGTGGGTTCAATTCCCTCGGGGGGCCAGTATAAAAAATATATGTATTCACTAACTGTAAGTCGCTCTGGATAAGAGCGTCTGCTAAATGACTAAAATGTAATGTAAATGTAAATAGGGAGTCATTTCAGACACAGCTTGTACACTCCCTGAGGTGGTCTATAGTATATCTATAGTACTAGTGGCTAATGATTACAACAACCTGCTCCACTGTGCTATACAACTCCATTTGTATTTTTTTTGTATACTTCCTTGTTTACCAAAAGCAGAGCCAGTCCTTCACGGTTTGGAACAGTTTGGTTAAAGTGTAACCTTGTCTGATAGAGGAAGCCCGTGGTGCCCCTTGTGTTGTGTCTATCAGTGGTCTGTGTTTAGTCCAGCCCAGGAGAGCTGTATGACGTGGTGCACTTTGAGGCCAAAGGCAAAACCGGTGGGGTCAGTGTCCGAGCCCTGAGAAGTTACTGGGACCAGCAGAACCAACAGAAGAATGATCAGCACCAACAGAACGACCATCGAAAGGACCATCACAATGACCCGTGGAATGACCAGCACCAATGGAACGACCTGCCGCCAACTAGGAAGCCCCCTGCACTGCCACCCAAGACCAACAACAGGAAGTTGACATCAACAGTATCCATTGGCAGGAAGTCCCTCCCACAGGTACGGTAGGCTAAACGCTACGATGGCTGAAGTCAGGGTTATAAGCAATGGTGTAATAACATGTTATTGCCTGACAGGGTCATGGCTTGTAGTGTGCAGTGCATTAAGCATTTCCAATAATATCATCTTCAGATCATCTTTACCATAGCAAATTTCATACAGAAGTATTGTAAACACTAACACAATGTATTTCCTGTGTTTTGTCTTTAGCAAGCAGTACCCCCAGTACCAAGGAGAGGCCCACCTCTGACCCACTCTCTGAGTGGAACCTTGCATGACAAGAGCACGTCCCAAACCCAATACGCTGAAATACACCATGACCAGAACAAGACCACATCTCACGGTCAAACCCAATACGCTGAAATACATACTAACCAAACCAAGACCACATCTCACGGTCAAACCCAATACGCTGAAATACACCATGACCAAACCAAGACCACATCTCACGGTCAAACCCAATACGCTGAAATACACCATGACCAAACCAAGACCACATCTCACGGTCAAACCCGATACGCCGAAATACACCATGACCAAACCAAGACCACATCTCACGGTCAAACCCAATACGCTGAAATACACCATGACCAAACCAAGACCACATCTCACGGTCAAACCCAATACGCTGAAATACACCATGACCAAACCAAGACCACATCTCACGGTCAAACCCAATACGCTGAAATACACCATGACCAAACCAAGACCACATCTCACGGTCGAACCCAATACGCTGAAATACACCATGACCAAACCAAGACCACATCTCACGGTCAAACCCAATACGCTGAAATACACCATGACCAAACCAAGACCACATCTCACGGTCAAACCCAATACGCTGAAATACACCATGACCAAACCAAGACCACATCTCACGGTCAAACCCAATACGCTGAAATACATTCTAACCACAACAAAGCGGACAGACTGGCCAGCACTGGGAGTCTGAACCAGAGGAGAAGCACCAGCCCCTGTGGAGGAGGTGGAGGTCCCTGGTCCCTCAACACCACTGAGTCTAGTCACCGTGACATTGGTAATAACAACTCCACAGTAGCAGGAGGAGGAGGTGGAGGAGGAGGAGGAGGAGGAGGAGGAGGTGGAGGAGGAGGAGGAGGAGGAGGAGGTGGAGGAGGAGGAGGAGGAGGAGGAGGAGGTGGAGACGTGTACTCTGAGCTGACCCTGTCGGATGGACGGAGCCGCTCGCTACCCCGCCTGGACGACACCACGGAGGAGGAGGAGGAGGAGGCGGGGCAGTACTCCAACAGGATAAACATCCCCTCCTTCACCCCCACCTCTCACTCCCCCAATCCCCCCAAGAGGGTCACCTGCCACGCCTACTCTCTTCAGGACCCCAGGGAGAGCCCCTGGCCACGGCTCCACGGTGGACCACACAGCCTGGATCAGCTGAGCACCAACCCACTCTACCAGGCCTCTGTTGGGCTTGGCGAGGGCCAGGACGCCCACTGGAAGGGACCAGAGAAGCAGAGAGAAGGGGACCATGGTTGGAGCCATAACCCCCAGGACCAGACTCCCCAGCAGGAGGATAGTATGTATGCAGAGGTTCCAGAGTGTCCATCTTCTCCCCGTCATCTGATTGCTGACAACACCTATGAGCAGATCCCAGGGGACGGTGGCCTGAAGGGGACGCAAAGCACCGCCACAGCCCAGGAGGGAAACACCTATGAGATTCTGGAGGAACTGAAGGCCAAGGAGTCTACTTGGGGCAAGAAGGTAAGAACTGAAACTGAAATCCTCCTTGAGTATCTAAATACACAAAAATTGTCATCACAATGATATGAAAATGAAATTATTCTTACATAAATACATACAGTCCGGGTAACTGCCAAAATAAAGGAAACACTTGAGTAAATTAGGGATACAAAGTATATTGAAAGCAGGTGCTTCCACACAGGTGTGGTTCCTGAGTTAATAAAGCAATTAACATCCCATCATGCTTAGGGTCATGTATAAAAATACCCAGTTGCCCATTATTTTGACTACCGTGGCTAGAAGAAGAGATCTCAGTGACTTTGAAAGAGGGGTCTCATAGGAGCGTAGGGGGTTTAAAGGGGGTTTATGTGTCTCAGTCACCAGATCTCAACCCAATTGAACACTTATGGGAGATTCTGGAGCGGCGCCTGAGACAGCGTTTACCACCACCATCAACAAAACACCAAATGATGGCATTTCTCATGGAACAATGGTGTCACATCCCTCCAATAGAGTTCCAGACACTTGTAGAATCTATGCCAAGGTGCATTGAAGCTTTTCTGTTGGCCCAAAGCTCTATTAGGACACTTTATGTTGGTGCTTGTTATATTTTGGCAGTTACCTGTAAATAACGACTGTAAATATATATATATATATGTACATACTGTATATGATAAAATGCATTATATTGATTCCGTTGCGCTGCAGAATATCAAATGGAGAAAATTATTCCCTGAATACAAGAAGAAATAGCAGCACCAAGCAGATTCAACAACAAACCATTCAGCACCATGCAGATTCAACAACAAACCAACCAGCACCATGCAGATTCAACAACAGACCATTCAGCACCATGCAGATTCAACAACAAACCATTCAGCACCATGCAGATTCAACAACAAACCATTCAGCACCATGCAGATTCAACAACAGACCATTCAGCACCATGCAGATTCAACAACAAACCATTCAGCACCATGCAGATTCAACAACAAACCAACTAGCACCATGCAGATTCAACAACAAACCAACCAGCCTGGAAGATAATTATTTGGTCAATGTTATTGTATTTAGGAGATGCGTGGACTTGTGTTATCTCTGTGTTAAATCTGTTTTATTAGCAAATATACACTACCGGTCAAAAGTTTTAGAACACCTACTCATTCATGGGTTTTCTTAATTTTTTTACTATTTTCTACATTGTAGAATAATGGTGAAGACATCAAAACTATGAAATAACACATATGGAATCATGTAGTAACCAAAACAAGTGTTAAACAAATCTAAATATATTTTATATTTGAGATTCTACAAATAGCCACCCTTTGCCTTGATGACAGCTTTGCACACTCTTGGCATTCTCTCAACCAGCTTCATGAGGTAGTCACCTGGAATGCATTTCAATTAACAGGTGTGCCTTCTTAAAAGTTAATTTGTGGAATTTCTTTCCTTCTTAATGCGTTTGCGCCAATCAGTTGTGTTGTGACAAGGTAGGGGGGGTATACAGAAGATAGCCCTATTTGACCTTCATGGTCGAATTGCTGCAAAGAAACCACTACTAAAGGACACCAATAAGAAGACGAGACTTGCTTGGGCCAAGAAACACGAGCAATGGACATTAGACTGATGGAGATTTTTGGTTCCAACCGCCGTGTCTTTGTGGGTGAACGGATGATCTCCTCATGTGTATTTCCCACCGTAAAGCATGGAGGAGGAGGAGGTGTTATGGTGTGGGGGTGCTTTGCTGGTGACACTGTCTGTGATTTATTTAGAATTCAAGGCACACTTAACCAGCATGGCTACCACAGCATTCTGCAGCGATACGCCATCCCATCTGGTTTGGGCTTAGTGGGACTATCATTTATTTTTAAACAGGGCAATGACCCAACACACCTTCAGGCTGTGTAAGGGCTATTTTACCAAGAAGGAGAGTGATGGAGTGCTGCATCAGATGACCTGGCCTCCAAAATCCCCCGACCTCAACCAAATTGAGATGGTTTGGGATGAGTTGGACCGCAGAGTGAAGGAAAAGCAGCCAACAAGCTTTCCACAGGGATGCTGGCCCATGTTGACTCCAATGCTTCCCACAGTTGTGTCAAGTTGGCTGGATGTCCTATTGGTGGTGGACCATTCTTGATACACACTGGAAACTGTTGAGTGTAAAAAAAACAGCAGCGTTGCAGTTCTTTACACACTCAAACCGGTGCGCCTGGCACCTACTACCATACCCCGTTCAAAGGACCTTAAATGTTTTGTCTTGCCCATTCACCCTCTGAATGGCACAAATACACAATCCATGTCTCAATTTTCTGAAGGCTTAAAAATCCTCCCATTCATCTATGCTGATTGAAGTGGATTTAACAGGTGACATCAAAAAGGGATCATAGCGTTCACCTGGATTCACCTGGTCAGCCTATGTCACAGTAGTGTCTATGGAGGGTCTAAGGAAGGTCTATGGAGGGTCTATGGAGGGTTGATGGAGGGTCTATGGAGGGTCGATGGAGGGTCTATGGAGGGTTTATGGAGAGTTGATGGAGGGTTTATGGAGGGTCTATGGAGGGTTTATGGAGGGTCTATGGAGGGTTGATGGAGGGTCTATGGAGGGTTTATGGAGGGTCTATGGAGGGTTGATGGAGGGTCTATGGAGGGTTTATGGAGGGTCTATGGAGGGTGTATGGAGGGTCTATGGAGGGTTGATGGAGGGTATATGGAGGGTTTATGGAGGGTCTATGGAGGGTTTATGGAGGGTCTATGGAGGGTTTATGGAGGGTCTATGGAGGGTTGATGGAGGGTCTATGGAGGGTTTATGGAGGGTCTACGGAGGGTTGATGGAGGGTCTATGGAGGGTTTATGGAGGGTCTATGGAGGGTTGATGGAGGGTATATGGAGGGTGTATGGAGGGTCTATGGAGGGTTGATGGAGGGTATATGGAGGGTTTATGGAGGGTCTATGGAGGGTTTATGGAGGGTCTATGGAGGGTTTAAGGAGGGTCTATGGAGGGTGTATGGAGGGTGTATGGAGGGTGTATGTGGAATACCTGGTACAGTAAAGACACATAATCCTCAGTGAGAGAGTTCAGATGTTAGACTATTCTGTATAATACTACTTCCTCTTTATGGAACCCCTCTGTACTGTATAATACTACTTCCTCTTTATGGAACCCCTCTGTACTGTATAATACTACTTCCTCTTTATGGAACCTCTCTGTACTGTATAATACTACTTCCTCTTTATGGAACCCCTCTGTACTGTATAATACTACTTCCTCTTTATGGAACCTCTCTGTACTGTATAATACTACTTCCTCTTTATGGAACCCCTCTGTACTGTATAATACTACTTCCTCTTTATGGAACCTCTCTGTACTGTATAATACTACTTCCTCTTTATGGAACCCCTCTGTACTGTATAATACTACTTCCTCTTTATGGAACCCCTCTGTACTGTATAATACTACTTCCTCTTTATGGAACCCCTCTGTACTGTATAATACTACTTCCTCTTTATGGAACCCCTCTGTACTGTATAATACTACTTCCTCTTTATGGAACCTCTCTGTACTGTATAATACTACTTCCTCTTTATGGAACCTCTATGTACTGTATAATACTACTTCCTCTTTATGGAACCCCTCTGTACTGTATAATACTACTTCCTCTTTATGGAACCTCTCTGTACTGTATAATACTACTTCCTCTTTATGGAACCTCTATGTACTGTATAATACTACTTCCTCTTTATGGAACCCCTCTGTACTGTATAATACTACTTCCTCTTTATGGAACCCCTCTGTACTGTATAATACTACTTCCTCTTTATGGAACCTCTCTGTACTGTATAATACTACTTCCTCTTTATGGAACCCCTCTGTACTGTATAATACTACTTCCTCTTTATGGAACCTCTCTGTACTGTATAATACTACTTCCTCTTTATGGAACCTCTCTGTGCTGTATAATACTACTTCCTCTTTATGGAACCCCTCTGTACTGTATAATACTACTTCCTCTTTATGGAACCCCTCTGTACTGTATAATACTACTTCCTCTTTATGGAACCTCTCTGTACTGTATAATACTACTTCCTCTTTATGGAACCCCTCTGTACTGTATAATACTACTTCCTCTTTATGGAACCCCTCTGTACTGTATAATACTACTTCCTCTTTATGGAACCTCTCTGTACTGTATAATACTACTTCCTCTTTATGGAACCCCTCTGTACTGTATAATACTACTTCCTCTTTATGGAACCCCTCTGTACTGTATAATACTACTTCCTCTTTATGGAACCCCTCTGTACTGTATAATACTACTTCCTCTTTATGGAACCCCTCTGTACTGTATAATACTACTTCCTCTTTATGGAACCCCTCTGTACTGTATAATACTACTTCCTCTTTATGGAACCCCTCTGTACTGTATAATACTACTTCCTCTTTATGGAACCCCTCTGTACTGTATAATACTACTTCCTCTTTATGGAACCTCTCTGTACTGTATAATACTACTTTCCTCTTTATGGAACCTCTCTGTACTGTATAATACTACTTCCTCTTTATGGAACCCCTCTGTACTGTATAATACTACTTCCTCTTTATGGAACCCCTCTGTACTGTATAATACTACTTCCTCTTTATGGAACCTCTCTGTACTGTATAATACTACTTCCTCTTTATGGAACCTCTCTGTACTGTATAATACTACTTCCTCTTTATGGAACCTCTCTGTACTGTATAATACTACTTCCTCTTTATGGAACCTCTCTGTACTGTATAATACGACTTCCTCTTTATGGAACCCCTCTGTACTGTATAATACTACTTCCTCTTTATGGAACCCCTCTGTACTGTATAATACTACTTCCTCTTTATGGAACCTCTCTGTACTGTATAATACTACTTCCTCTTTATGGAACCTCTCTGTACTGTATAATACTACTTCCTCTTTATGGAACCTCTCTGTACTGTATAATACTACTTCCTCTTTATGGAACCCCTCTGTACTGTATAATACTACTTC